GCAGGTAAAGTGGTCTTTCTGAGCTAAAAGATGCTTGGTATAGAATTAAAAATTCTATTGATAATGATAATCAAGATAACAATACAACTTCTCACATATCGAGACCTACAGAACAATATAAAAAAGAATATTTTTTAAGAAGTAAAACAAAAGAAAAAACAGAAGGCCAATCATTAATTACACAATATTTCGATAAACATAATCAGAAGAATGATAGTGAACAAGATAATAGAAATATAAATGACGAAACTAATAAAATAACAAATTTGAACAAGTTTTGTAAGATTAAATACATACCGTCATTAACGAATAAAATAACTTCAGTATTCAGAGATCATGATTTTAAAGAAATTAAATTTGCAAAATACAATGATAATAAAATAAACATATTGATTTCAAATATGAAGGATAAAATTAAGATGATAGACAAAGTCGATACCGTTTACAAATTAAATTGTATGAATTGTGATAAAGTTTATATTGGAGAATCAAAACAACACCGAATTCAACAACATCAATATGACTCAAAACAGATCAAAATAAATAATAAAACAGCATTGTGTCAACATTCTGTACTATTAAACCACAAATTTGACTTTGAAAACCCCAGGATTCTCAATACAAATAATAATACCTTAATAAGGAAAAATTTAGAATCAATTTATATAACAAAAAATATCAATCACGCAGTCAATTTCAAAACCGATGTTGGGAAGATTGGAGCGCATTACGCGAATATCTTAGATAGATTAAATATATAAAGCGAGATAGATAGAAGACGTTTGGGAGTGGTAGAAAGGAAGAACGAATTCCAGTTTTTGGGTAGTAAAATTATCCTTGAAACTTCGTACAATGGTATTTCAAAACAGTTGTACAATGTGACGCACATACATGTATGCAAAGTAATTTTAAAATATTGTTTTTTAAATCATCATATCAAGATTAGAGGTAAACTTTTTTTAACATTCGACACCGATTAATTTTTGTATTTTTGTGTGATTTGAGATTTTTATGGTCTTTTGTTGTGGTTTTTTTGTAGATAATATTACGAGTGACTATTTGTAGACTGAAGATGGGAGGTGTTCCCGAAACGTCTCAGATTGATTAATTTATAACAATTACGGAGGAAAAGTGGTCTTTTTTAAAAAAAAACCTGTCGGAATACTGTTTTAACTTCGTCAACTGTGAAGAGATTAATTGAAAAATTTCGGGAGACAGGATCCGTTGGAAACACCAAACACACTGGTCGTCCAAAAACAAGCCGTTCAAATGTCAATATCGAAGCAGTGCGTGCAAGTGTCGGGGACAATCCAGGAACCTCAATTCGGCGTCGTGGACAAGAATTGCAAATTTCAAGAAGCTCTCTACAGCGTATACTCACTAAAGATCTGTGCCTACATGCTTACAAAATTCAATTAACACAACAACTGAAGCCCAATGACCATGCACAGCGTAGAGAGTTTGTTGAATGGATTATTGAGCATCAACAAATGAATGCTGATTTTTTGAGCAAAATCATCCTAAGCGACGAAGCACATTTTCACCTTGATGGGTTTGTTAATCGCCAAAACTGCCGCTTTTGGGGTTCTGAAAACCCACATGTGATTGTCGAAAAACAAATGCATCCACCACGTGTCACTGTTTGGTGTGGATTTTGGGCTGGAGGCGTAACTGGACCATACTTTTTTGAAAATGAGGCTGGTCAAGCAGTGACTGTTACTGGTGCTCGATATCGCGACATGTTAACACAGTTCTTTTTGCCGAAATTGAATGATATTGATGTGGCCAATATGTGGTTTCAACAAGCACTTCAATTACTGCATGAGACATTTTCAGGTCGCGTACTCTCTCGTTTCGGTGATCAAAATTGGCCCCCTAGATCATGTGATTTAACACCATTAGATTTCTTTTTATGGGGTTATTTAAAATCACAGGTCTACGTAACAAGCCCACAACCACGCGTGCATTAAAAGAGGAGATTTAACGTTGCATCAACGAAATTCAGCCACATTTATGCAGAATGGTCATGGAAAATTTCGACAAACGAGTGCGTATGTGTATGTAAAGCCGTGGAGGCCATTTGCCCGATGTGTTATTTCATAAATAACCCTATCCTATGTACTTTATGAATCAATAAAAAAATTACAATCAAAAGACTAAAAACTGTGTTTTCTATTTACTTAATTCAAATCTTGCGTTAATTTTGAGACACCTTTATTTAGTAAAATTGTTGATTTGTTATTGCATTGATAGGTATGAATAAAGTCACTATTATTATTTATACCAAATCCAGTGAAAAAGAATCCTTACTCATTTTAAACAAATATTAGCCTTGTGTTAATCAAATAATTACATCATCACTTAACACCAAAAAAAAACAAATTATATTCGGGGGGGATCAAAAAGGGGTCATCACCAAATTAGTTTTTTAAAAACAATCGTTCATTTCCTCAATAAATATTAATGAAATATAAACAACTAAATAAATTAAAAATAATAAAACAACTTACTTCCAATCATAAACCCCATCGTATGTAAAAATTTTATTCTTTTCATTATCAGTTTTTGCTTTAGGATTTTCAACTTCAATAACACCCCTTTTAGCATAAACATTCACCACCTGAGTGCATTCGCTTTCCAATTCCTTATCAGAAATTGGTCTGCATCGAACCACCACTTGTACACTTTCGTTGCTTGGTGATTTGGTCATTTTCTGTAAAAATAATAATTAATAGAACAGGTGCGTTATTACACGGAGAAAGCGCGTTCCGTGCTTTTTGTTATACTATTGCAAAATAGTTGTATTCATAATGTATACTTACGGCGGAGGACGCAGATCTCCCCTCTTTTTCTCTATCCATCGTTTCGGCTGACGGGCCCCGTTGCGATTCTACACCATAACGGGTTGAAAGCGTCCGCACCGGGCGGTAATTACATAATGACACTCGCCCTGACACATTTGCGGCGATTTATTGATTTTCTTACACATTTGACGCATTTTAAAATGTATACTGTCATTTTTGACATTTCTTTTTTACCTATACTTACGCCATCTACTAAGCAATTACAAATATAACGTATTAAAATAAACAAATTTCTGTAATAATAATAATAATCTATTCTTTAAATAAATTCTATTTCAAATACATTATTTATAAAATAAAACTACGCTTTTTAATTTTGTACCAAAATAAATCAAAATTTAGCGCCACCTATCGGACAAAACCTTAACCAAACCAAAAAAATGTGTCAAATTTTGAAGCCGATCAATTTATGTATTTACATTCAATTTTAAAACCACAATCTAAAAATGGATGTAACGCTACAAAAAAGATGCGCAAAATTAGTTTACGTAATCCCGGAAGGTTTGCGGGAATTAATGAGCGATATTTCAAGAGAAGTTTGTATCCATTTTACCCCTATGCCTTTAAATAAACAATTTATTAGGTTCTTAGAAGCCAACCAGAACATTTCTACGAATTTATAGCCGATTATCTTGATGCTTTGATGATCACAAGAGAAAATGCAAGAGTTGCTGCAAGATTGGTTGATAGCATCATACAAATTGCAACGATGACCGTTGAATTACTACAACAAACTGGGATGAGTAGAGATGAAGCTGATCGAATGGCAAATATCATTCAAGATGCTTTTAAGAGATATATGGCTATAAAACAAGAACCGGTTGTTTATGCTTGTAATAATAATTATCTTAATTTAATAAATTAATCAAAAATATAAAAATTTAGCCGTTCAGGATGAAGAAGAAGAAGAACACCAATTAATCATCGATATTCTCCATCAATTTGGAGATTATTTCGACCAAGATAACGCAGCAATACCAATTATTCAACGAGCTTTCAGAGAATTTAAACTTCGTCATTTGCGCGAACGACAAATGTTAGCTGGAATAGTTGATTGGCGAGTAGCAGCAAGAAGCGCTATTTACCTTTACAGACACACCGGGGTTACTATGGAAGAAGCAAACCGTGCCGCAACTTTAATCAAAGCCGCTTACAAAGGTTATTATACCCGAAGAATTATGAGGCGATTACTTGAAGAAGGACAAAGAGTATACGAGGAACAAGAAGAAATGGCTCAACAGGAACGAATGAAATCGCGTAGCGCAGAAGAATACAGCGAAAGTGAAGAAGAAGAAGCAGAAGGAGCAGATGTTTCTGATCGACCGTCGTTTATCGCATTAGGTGTATTACAAGATGTTTTAAAGATAGTTGTTCCAGATGATCAAATTCAAACTGCGCCTCCAGTTTCTGCAGTTGAAGATGATTTATATGGGGAAGATGCGTTAACTACTATGGCTACTTCTGAAGTCACAACGGAAGCACCTCCATTAACTGAATCGGAAGGAGATGAAGGTGGGGAAACTGATGAAGGTGGTGGAGGACAAGGAGGGGAACCACCAGCTGAAGGAGATGTAGCTCCAGCTGAAGGTGAAGCACCAGCTCCCGCTGAAGGAGAAGCTCCAGCTGAAGGAGAAGCGCCAGCTCCAGCTGAAGGAGAAGCACCAGCTCCCGCTGAAGGAGAAACACCAGCTCCAGCCGAAGGAGAAGCTCCAGCTCCCGCTGAAGGCGAAGCAGCACCTCCAGCTGAATGAGATAAAAATTTATAAGAAAATTTTTTTATTTATATTTATTCTAATAATCCTTTTACAAACAAATTTTTCCCCATCACTTCTTCTTTAATTTTTTTTAGTTCATTCATCAGCTCCTCATCGTTTAAATTAGCTGCTTTCGATTTAATTTGATCTAACACTTCTTTAAGTAGCTTATCACCTTCCTATTAATTGAATTTAAATTAATTTTTAATTAAATCTACATAACTTTAACTCTTACATTAATAACATTTCTTTTTAAAATTGGCTCATAATCGTTGATGTATTTCATCCCTTCTGCAAATTCCAGTTTTTTTTGATGTTCAATAGCGTTCTAAATTATTTACATACTCAATTAATACTCATTTAAAACTAAGCTACAAACCTGAATAACATCAATAGGAAATTCTGCCATTCTAGCGCAATGAATACCATAACTTTTATCGCATGACCCCTCTTTGATTTGATACAACGGTGTTATAGTTGTTTTTGTTACGACAGCGGATGCGTGTAAATTAAAAACGGTGGGGATGGTTTCGGAAAGTTGGGTTATTTCGTGATAATGCGTAGCGAATAATGTGAAAGATTGTATATCACGAGCTAAATGCCTTAAAAAAAATTTGTATTACAAGTATTTTTTAAGTTTATTTAATACTTACTCTGCTATTGCCCAAGCAATTCCACAACCGTCGTAAGTCGAAGTTCCTCTTCCTAATTCATCAATGATTACTAAAGAGTTTTTTGTAGCACTCTAAAAAGTGCATAAGTGAATAACCTAGTAATTTTTTGTTTAACCAACTTGTGTAAACCAGAAAAACTAACTAGTATTGCGTAAGCTGATTAGTTTTGATTTTCCGTCATGTAATGGCGCAGACACAAATATTCGGCATAGGTATACTTACCCTAACAATTCCAGAAGTTTCAACCATTTCCAACATAAACGTACTTAATCCCTTTAATTCACAATCTTCAGCTCCAACTCTAGCTAAAATACAATCAACCAGAGAAATTTCAGCGGATTCACAAGGAACTAAACTTCCGATGTGTGCTAATAAAACGCAAGTACCAATGCTACGCATAAAAGTACTTTTTCCCCCCATATTAGGTCCGGTAATAATGCTTAAAATTTTTTCATCTTGTTTTAAATCGATATCATTTGGGATATAACAACAATCATCTTGTTTTTCTAAACAAGGATGTCTCGCTTTAAACAACTTTAAAATACCTGTTCCTTCCGGAAATAGTTTTGGTTTTGTGTATGTTATTGGAGCGGAAGTAGCAGCCGTTGCGAATGATACTAACACGTCAACTTGGGCTGTTAATAAATTCAAATTTCTTATAGAATCCGCATAACCGGAAGCGACGGTTAATATTTCATCAACGACGTGTTTTTGTTGTTTCTCGTAAAGTTGATTATTGTTTTGGTAGGTTTCGTTTAAATCGGATAAACGGTCGTTTGTAAATCTAACTCCGCCTTTAATCGCATCGATTATTCGATAACTTTTATTGTTGCGAAGAGCCGATTCTTCTTTTAATGTTATACGAAAATAATAACCGTGTTGATCGTTACATTCCAGTTTTAAAACTTTATCCATATCTAGACCTAAATCGTTTGAAGCCTTTTTGAAGACTTTTTGTATTTTTTCTTCGACCTCTAATTTTTTTTCATTTAATTCTGTTAAATCTTCATCGTAACTGGGTTTTATGAAAAATTCACCGCGATCTATTAGATTGAAATCTAAAGTTTGTTCGATCATCGCTTGATATTTTTCTAAATCTTTATAAACGTCCGTAATCGGGTTAATTAACATCCCGTTTATGAATTTGTTATCAACGTTTTTTAAAATGCTCAACATCCCAGGGATACTTTCAATAACTTGGTAAATTTTGTAACAATCTTGTAAAGTGGCTTTTTTATTCGATAATTTTTTTGCTAAAACTAAGACATCGGGTACTCGAGTTAAACAGCCCGAAGATAATATTGAACGAGCCTCAGCATTTTTAACTAAAGCTTCAACAACTTCTAAGCGTTCATTAATAATATTAATATCTCTTAGTGGTTGTTTAATCCATTGTTCTAATAATCTGCGCCCTTGAGCCGTTGAGCAATTATCCAAAACATCAAATATGCTGTCGGATTTACTCCGAGCGGATGTTGATGGTTTTGGAAATAAATTTAAAGCATTTAAAGCTGCAGTATCTAATCGAACATATCTAAAAAAAAAGATTTAGTACAAAAAAATAATTTAATAAATGTAACCCGTTTATGCCCGAATTAATTTTGGTATCCTTTTGGTGCAGTTCTTATCGTTTGTAACTGATTATTTTTAAGAAAATACTATTTTTTCGTTTTTTTTGAATGTTCTATTAATGAAACAATGTTTCTAGTTCTAGTGTTAGCTATAGTTTTATACTAGCACTGTTACTATGTAGAACTAACATTGTACCAAGAACTGGAATCATTTGAGTTTAGCCACACGGCTCTAGAGACGGCTAAACCCGAATGATTCTAGTTCTAGGTATACTGTTAGTTCTAGTTTTACACTTGCACTGTTACTAGAACTAACATTAGACCAAGAACTAGAATCATTTGGGTTTAGCCCCACGTCTCTAAAGACGGCTAAACCCGAATGATTCTAGTTTTTGGTCTAGCGCTGCACAACAATTAAAACTAGAACTAACACTAGACCTAGAAAGTTTCGGGTTTAGCCATTCATTGTCATTTTGGTGCAGTTTTTATTCTTTGTAACTGACTGCAAGCATTATTTTTAAGAAAATACTATTTTTTTGTTTTTTTTTTATGTTATGTTGACATGAACGAGACCATATCCTTTCGCAATCAAATCAACATAAACTTTAACAATAAATATATTGAAATTATACTATTATGCTCCATCTTTTGTGGAAGTATCATACAGATTGACTTTACATTTTTGATAAGACTATCTTGTGTTTTTTTTTTACAGAAAGCACAGCGATTTTGTTTTTTTTTGCGTAGACAATCTAGTGGTAGCTTTCTTTAAATCGCACTTGCGTTTTCACTCTTGAAGCCAATTCTTTATGGGAAGATGAACGTCCTCCCCTGCCGGGGGAATACCATATTTTTGTAAATACGTTTGCACAACTATTCTTCGAAAATGCAAATAATTCATTTTTTACCCAAGTCCTTTTTTATATAGTTGCCATCCGTTGTGCACTGTAATATCGACACAAAACGCAAAAATTCCCAACCACCACTTCTTCTATCTAATGGAAATCCTGTAGTTGTCTATGTTCTCATCCATCCTGTCTATAACGCCCATAAATTTATTTTATTGAGCTACTAGATGAGGTTACGCAACCTTTTTTTTCTGTTTTGATATCCACCTTTCCACTGTACATTCTGGAAGCGTAGATTCATAAGTACTGATCATCAGAACTATTCTATTATCATGCCAGCTTGTAACGATTAGTTTATTGGCAACATCTGTACAGGGTGTCCCAATTTCGATGTCCGCATAGGCTATCTCCAAAACTAAAAGAGATAGAAAAAAAGTAGCTTACATGTCATGATCTCGTTTTTCGAGAAAATGCTAATGCCGAAAACTCCGAACAGCTATCGTCTTTTGTTTTCGCCCTATCGGCAAAAACTGAAAATTTTGCAAAAACGACAATCGCGAATATCTCACTTATTATCAAAGATGGAGTATTATAAATAAAACATTATATGGGCAACTTTTTACGAAGAATTCAGTGGCGTAGGTAGAATTTTTTTCCCATCTTTTATTTTCGAGATTTTAGACGTAACTTTATTTTTTTAAATGGAAACCATAGTTGGCTATGACTTAAAATAATTTGTTATTTTCTTCTGATAACAAATATATATAGTTTGTGGGGTATATTTCTTATAGTTATTGAATAATTAACAAAAATTCATTTTGTTCCATCTAAATCTAATGTATGTATTTAAAAGTTAATGTTGCTATGGTGATAACCATACATACTATGATGGAATATAATGTATCAATTTTTTTTGTTCTTTCTAAAACTATTGTATGTATTTAAAACTTAATGTTGTTATGGTGATAACCATACCATGAGGGAAAGCATTGTTTCCAATTATTGCCAAAGTTTGTAGCAAGGACAGTAGAATCTAACAGGACTGCTACATCCATTGTATTTTTGTAGTCGACTACGGGTTGGTTGCCCGCACTCTACGTCACACTATTTGCCACGCCTGATAACTGTCTATGTTTTTAGAGGTTATATGATAGACATTAATACGTCTAAAAACATAAAACTTCAAAACTAATATGAATACGTCTAGGATATAACCTCTAAAAACACACAGCAAACGCATAGACCATAACAACAGCTGGGCGTGGAAAATGGTGTGACGTAGTTTGCGGGTAGGCTGTCACAACAATGGATGTAGCAGTCCTGTTAGATTCTACTGTCCTTGAGTTTGTAGTAGTATTTAAAAATTCACTAACAACTCTGGCATTATGTGCTGGTGCTCCGTCATATTGAAAATATATCATTTGAGACATATTTAGTGGCAAATTGTCGACCAAAGGCTCAATGTGCTGCCTTAATATATTGAGGTATTTCCCTGAGTTTAAGTTTTTATGGTAGATACTATATGCCAAAATTCTATTATCTAAAAGGGCACACCATACATTGAACCCCAATCTTCTTTGAACACTCAGAGACTTCATCGGTCCAGATAACATTTTGAACAAACAGCAGATTATTTAATTTTTTTAAATATCATCTACAAAATTCTAATCTTCGATTGACATCTCCGGCACGTAAATAATGAGTTAGCCCCGCTTTGTATGGTTTATACTTATTTTTCTTTCATATTCGGGAGCAGCGGCTTTTGGGTCAGACGTCTTGTTGCAATTTCTCTTGCAGGTCATTTTGGTATGTTTTTGTATGTGGTTTGGGGAAGGACCAAATATCTATTAAATTTTCTGCTAACCGGCTGAAGGTTCTTACGTGCGGTTGTCTTCTTTCTGGATATCTTGTGAAATAAAATTCCGCGGCTAACGTCGCATTCTTATCTGATAACATATAGCATTCCATCATGTTACATTTTTCATAATTTTCGAAATTCATTGTAAAGTTTTATTCAGTTTTGTTATACTTTGACACTTAACATGCTGGTGCATCGTACCAGCACATAATGCCAGAGTTGTTATCGAATTTTTAAATACAAACTTTGGCAATTATTTGATACATTATGTTCCATCATAGTATGTATGGTTATCACCATAGCAACATTAACTTTTAAATACATACATTAGATTTAGATGGAACAAAATGAATTTTTGTTAATTATTCAATAACTATAAGAAATATACCCCACAAACTATATATATTTGTTATCAGAAGAAAATAACAAATTATTTTAAGTCATAGCCAACTATGGTTTCCATTTAAAAAAATAAAGTTACGTCTAAAATCTCGAAAATAAAAGATGGGAAAAAAATTCTACCTACGCCACTGAATTCTTCGTAAAAAGTTGCCCATATAATGTTTTATTTATAATACTCCATCTTTGATAATAAGTGAGATATTTGCGAATGTCGTTTTCGCAAAATTTTCAGTTTTTGCCGATAGGGCGAAAACAAAAGACGATAGCTGTGCGGAGTTTTCGGTATTAGCATTTTCTCGAAAAACGAGATCATGACATGTAAGCTGCTTTTTTTCTATCTCTTTTAGTTTCGGAGATAGCCTATGCGGACATCGAAATTGGGACACCTGTACAATAGTCATAGACACCTCTGTTCTTCTTTTCTACCACTTTTGAAGGCATTATGGGACACTTTTCAATTCTATTTTATTTGATAGTTCCCATACATCCATATCTTTTTCCTGTAAATCAGTTACTGGTTTGTTTTGGTAGGACTTTTATCAGTCCAAGTACAGCAGACTCTCCTACACCAAATGCTGGTTTCTTTATAGTTGGTTTCCTTACTTTTTTGTGGTTCTCGCTTTTTCTTCTTTATCCGCTGAAGTAAATGGTATGGTTCAAATTGCATCAAATACCCAAGAGGTTCGCAGAGACACCACATCTTGTAAATGTATCGTATCAGCTTTCCTTTTAAAAATTGTTTTGCCCCATACTTACCAAAGTATGGAACCATACTTTCAACACTCAGCCTTTCTTGGAGATCTGAGTATTTCAAAAATTTTGAATTAAGCATTTGCATCAATTTTTTGTTATTATTATTAGCACAGTGGAGATAACTTTTTAGCATTTCGAATCTATTTCTTCTCATAGAATTCACTAGTGCCATATTGTAAGATTCGGTTCCTAGCTCCCACCACATTCTACATCTAGGAACAACACAATAGACAGATACTAGTAGTATGGCCAAAAACACTTTATTTCTTCATTGGAATCTCGGAAATTAAGTTCACCCTTTTGCTGTGGATATAACGTCGTCATTTCTGCCAAAAATGATATAATACTATCATCAAGAAAAAGTTCAAAGCATTCCACCGGATCAGAAGGAATGGGTGCTGATTGCATTGGTTTCTCAAAGTTTGGAAACCCAGGAAATAGATCGGATTTAGCCAGTTTTTTTTTCGGTAATTTATTTTATTTCTTCTCATAATATTCATTAGTGCGATATTGCAAGATTCGGTTCCTAACTCCCAACACATTCTACATCTAGTAACAACACAATAGAGAGTATGGCCCAAAAACACTTTATTTCTTCATTGGAAACTCGGAAATTAAGTTCACCTTTTGCTGTGCATATAACGTCGTTACTTCTGCCAAAAGTGATGTAATATTATCATCAAGAACAAGTTCAAAGCATTCCACCGGATTAGAAGGAATGGGTGCTGATTGCATCAGTTGCTCAAAGTTCGGAATTCAGAAATAAGATCGGATTATTGCCAGTTTTTTTTTTGGTAACTTCGTTTGTATTTCTGACAAAGGTTCGTTGTCCCTATTTGCCTCTTCGTCAGTGTCGCTGTCACCAATTATGAAATCCGTCTTTGATTTGCAATTTTCTCCATAGCTTCTGCTTGAAGCTATCAACCATCCAGTCATTGATGTCGTTGCAGAAGTCTTCATTGCCGCTATCTTCAGCACTTTCAGCACCATAATCTGAAAGAGTGATAAAAACATCAGCGGCACAAAAATCCACGCCTTCTATTACTTCAATAAGTTCTGCAGTTGTGAGGGGTCTGAAATTATTAAAAATCTTTATGGACCTATTTAGCATAGTTCCAATATTGGAACTTTTGGGAAAAAGTGTATTTTTTTGTACTTATCCTATTTATTATTATAGATGATATATGGAAATGTGTTGAAAATTGTTAGGGCAATAAACACAACCCAAAATAATAGATAATATTAGTTTAATAACAGGAAATGTCACTTACCTTTAACCAGCCATTTTTTACGATAGAAATTTCACACATTAAAGGCACAATAATTCGTCAAACAATCACTCTCACTAATCAATGTGTTTACTGAAAACGTAACAACAAAGCGTGGAGGGGAGAAAAACGGGGGTGTTCCATTATTGGAACTCTGGGCATAAACGGGTTAAATTAATCTTACCGATGAATATCAGCTGTTGAAATTTTATATTGATTAAAATTATTTTCATCTCCAGTTAAATTTAAGTATTTAATCCCAGCTTGTAAACTACCTAAAGCATGTTTTAAATCAGCCGAAGGTAAAGCCATATAATTTCTTTGTTGGCCTTCATTAAAAAAGAGTAATCTATTTAAATCTTGATCGATTTCGTCACCAGAAAATTCATTCTTTTTTAATCGAACAACCAAAATGTTGCAACGATCAAGAATTTTTTTTAACGACACCAATTCTGGTGAATCCCCTTGGGGTATTATACACTCCTTCGGGCCAATTTGTGCGATTAACGCATCGAGTTGAGTGTGGAATTCGTTATCGATAAATTCGGTTAAGAAAAATGTTGATTCCGTTGTATTTATACAAGCTACACCTAAATTATTTGCCTTAATGTTTTTGATACACATTATGGTCGAATTAAAAACGGTATTTCCGGAATTATCAAATAAAATGTCTTCGAATTGGCTTAAATTTCCTGGGGATCCTTTATATTCTAACGACCAAGTGTTTTGGCGACTTTGCGTTGAGGGTTTTGTGTAAACTTCAACTCGGTATTGTTTAACAAGAAGTAATTCTTTGATGAACTTTTCGAAATTTCCTCTGCTTAAAACCAAGTAACTCAATTTCGGTTCTAAACCCATGTATTTAATTATTTTATTGCCGAAAATTGTTTCTGAGGCTAATTTTGCATCGTCCTCGTGGACCGTGTAATAATCGGAGTGATTAAAAAATCTTACTGTAGCAGAGATGTTCTAAAAAAAAAAAAAGAAAAAAAATAATAATTTTTTTGTTATTAAGATTAATTTAAAAGAATTGTTTTTGTGGATCAAGGAAAAAGTCTTGATAATGACCCCAATTTTTTTATTTTTTAAATCCGCCTTTTAAAATATTACCAAATTTGGGGTATTTCCAATTTAAATTGTTCTGAGAATATTATTATGACGTCTTTAATTTGTTATTAATAATAAACCCACAGGTTAAAGATAAATTCATTCATAAAGATGATCGAATGTGTTTACGACATTTCTATGTATTATTCGTTATGAGTAATACAGGTTGCTTTAAAATGTAAAAGTCATAAACTAAATAGGAGTACTATTTCTGTTGATTACATAATGACTTTCAGAACGTGACTTAAAAAATAAGATTCTTGAATGAAGTTTTTTATAATAAAATAATGATCTTGTTTATTCAACAATGAAAACGATGGAAAAATAATTCAACGGATGATTTTAACTAATTTAGTGGCGTTAAAACCATAAAGATGAGCCCCAATAGTCTGTGTAGAAGGTTTTCAGTTTTTGTAATCCCTATAGGGTGTCACAATAAGTCACAACCTACAATATCACAATCCTCCAATGTACAGAGTGTTGCGAAACTCTTCATACGAATGATTCGTTCAGAAATCAAATGATTCATGTCCGGTGGTGATGATATAATATATCATTGATTGATGGCCGTTTATACTCTGAAAGGTGTTCTTGTGCTTGATTTCGTGATCAAAAAGTGTGCTATAAATAAATTATGAAAATTTGAGGTCAACTAACGACTTGACGAGATGCTTCTTCATTTTTCTTGTTCCAGGATTTGATTTTTCAAGTTCTAAGTCTAAATATATCCGTTGTTCATCCCATTTCTGAGTTTAGATCATGATTTTATAAATTGAAATGAGTATGAATATTATAAATCCTTGTTTATGTATAAAGAATTAGACTCTTCGATGTCTTGTTTTTCTTCTTGGTCACGCATTTCTACAAGCTCATCAATTGTCAGCACCTGATTATGTGAATCCGGCAGTTCTTGAACGTCATCACCTCTAAATTTAATTGTCTGGCTTAATTAAGATCGACCACTTGTTCAATCACATTATCAATTTGATCAGGATCTGACGTTGATTCTTTTTGGCATTTAGTGGTGAAAAAAAAATGGACACAATTTTTTCCAGATTTTTTGCCATTTAAAGTTTTTTGTGAAATTTCATTCCAAGATTGTCCAATAATTCTCACGGCATCTAAAACATTGAATTGCTTCCAAAAGTTTTCAACAGAAAGGTCATTATTTTGTCTCGTAGCTTCGTGTAGATGCGCAAACAATCGTCTCTTATTATCAGTTGAAGCAAACAGGTTGTATTCGGTGTCAAAAATACAACTTTCACACGTGGGTCGAAATTAATTAGAGTTACAGGAGGATGACTCGATTAATAACATCACTTTAAATGGAATTGGCAATAACGTTCGACTTCAGGTATGAAGTGATGACCAAACCAGACTTCAAAAAGAGAAGCTGTTACCCAAGCTTTCGCATTTCATTTCTAAATCACGGGCAGCCCAGTTTTAGATTTATTTTTTAAAGCTCTTGGATTTTGTGAGCAATAAATTAAAAGAGGTTTTAATATAGCATTCGTGCTAACCATCACTGTCAATCGATCTTTGGCGGCTTTAAAACCTAGAAAGGTTTACTCTTCACGCGCGATAAAAGTTCTTTTAAGCATTTTTTCCCAGAATAGACCAGTTTCATCTACGTTGAATATGGTTTGGCTGCTAAAGCCACCTTCTTCTATCATTGCGTTGCGTATCTCCACTTTCTGCGATGCTATGCCATGATAAGATAAACTAGCATTAAACATTTCATCTTTGGCCGCCCCCCGGATTCTTTTTTTAATTTCTCAAAAATAAATTTAGCTTGAGAGCACACCGTGTTCTGATCAACGGGTCAATTTTTTACTCTTACTTGATTATATACAGGGTGTTCCGGTGACTCGGGGCATAAAATTAACCTCATATAGTAGAGCAAAAATGATGACGATTCGTGAAAAAAAATTATTATAAAAGTCTTCAAATGGCCAAGATATGGGCCATCAAAGTTCAGAAATTTTAACACATTTTTCTAAATATTTTCAATACCATTTATGGTAGAGCGTTGAAATTTGGTACAGGGTAAACAAATATCAAGCAAAATCATTGAACCAATTTTGACTTTGATCGGGCGGCGGCAACCATGCTATACAGGATGTCCCTAAAATTTGTTTGCTCAGAACTTTTTTGTTCGCTCGTAACCCTACATTTATTTTTGTACTTTTTAATAGAAAATTTATTTTAGAAACTTTTATCACTCTTTGAAAATTTTGATAACATTGACCGTTT